AATATTCGTGGGGTCACTCGTCTTTTATTCGTTTAACTGCGGGGACGTCACAATGGTCATGCTAAAATTAAAGGATATCGATTCAGATATGTTAGCATTCAAAAACATTTCAAACTGTTCAAAAGGAATTAATTGAAAGAGCTTCCGACGAATCAGTTGAAGATCGTATCCAAGAAGGTGAAGACCATCGCGATGCCGCTCTTAGCGCGAAAATAAAGACGGAGAGAATAGTAGCAAAATTCAATGAATTAACAATTCAAACCACCGATTCGTCCGTATCGCTATCCACCGTGAATGCCTCTTCATTTGCGAATAATATTCCAAGTAACGACAATAATTTGTTAAATTTACAAGCGATGCGTCTGCCACAATTCGACGGGCGGTTCGAAGACTGGCCAAATTTCGCGGATCAATTTCAATCGATCATCGGCCAAAGATTGATTGATTTACCGAATATTCAGAAATTTTCTTATTTAAAATTCTTGCGTATCGGGAAAAGCGGAAAACAAAATACGCGCGTTAGAAACGACGGGAGACAATTATCAAGTAGCTTGGAATATATTAGAAGAATATTATGACAATCCACTTGTATTAATCAACAAGCATATAAAAGCGATACAGGAATGTCCAAGAACCAATAGGCAATCACCGCAATCATTAATCGATGCATCAAACGCGCTTTGCACGAACTATCATTCCTTAGTGTCCACTAAGAAGTCGTTTTTTGAAGCTTTCCCCATTCACATGGTAGTTTCGCGGTTAGACGATCAAACGCGTTACGAATGGGAAAATCGACGATCCAAACGGGATCTACCGACCGTAGACGAATTAGTAAGAATTTTACGCGATAGTGGACTCGCGCTTTTACATTCTCATCCAGAAAGGGCATTTAAAAACACGGAGAAAATTAGAGTAAACAATTTATAGCCAAACCTTTCTCGCGATATCCAACTCCTCAAAACCAATCGCAAGTTTATTCAGCGCAAATACGATATCGATGTTCATTATGTAAGAACAATCATTACACATCTGAGTGTGATCAATTATTAAAGGCTAAACCCGAGGAACGTAGGAAGATCATTGAGCGGGCCAGGTTTGTGCACCAATTGTTTACGCCACAATCACAAGGTAGAAGCGTGTCAGGCAGGAAACTGCAGAAAATGTAAAGGCAGGCGTAACACTTTTTTACATGTAGAGGAAGAAGATACGACGATAAAATGCGCACATTTAAAACTCGATCGCGTACCTTTACCCACACTATTATTAACTGCGGTAGTATCATTGTTAGATCGCGACGGGAAGCCACATAAGTGTCGTGTACTTTTGGATTCGGGCGCCGAAGCTAATTTTCTAAAAATGGAATTCGCCAACAAACTTCCTATTCCTAAACAAACCGTAGACATACCGATAGCGGGGATAAATGAAACTGAAACAAGCGTCAACAAAATCATTATAACCACAATGCTGTCACGTACAGAAAATTATATCGCGAAATTAAAATTCTTACTTCTACCTCATATAACGAAAACATCGTCAGCTCATCAAGCATTGTCGGAAAACTTGATTATTCCCGCGAATATACAATTAGCGGATCCCGACTTTGCTAAATCTTCAGAAATCGATGCAATTATTGGGATGGAAATTTTCTGTAGCTTGTGGCGCGCCGGTCAAATAGTTCAGCTCAATGAATCTTTAGCCTTACAAAACACGCGACTAGGGTGGATAGTGGTAACTAATGTAAACATGCCCCTTTAAAAAACCGTTAAGTGTCATACCACCATGATTAAATTGCATAATCAATTAGAAAAATTTTGGCGCGTCGAGCAAACTCCAGAAATTAGTGTCAAGTCCCACGAAGAGGAATGTTGCGAGGAGCATTACAAAACGAATACTCGGCGCGACGATTCAGGTAGATATGTTGTGAGATTACCATTCAAAGGGGACACAATACAATTAGGTGATTCTTATAATAATACGGTCAAAAGATTACGTACATTAGAACGAACACTAGCACGCAGACCGGAAATTCG